GTGTCCAGAGTTGGAGCTCAATCTAGATAAGGTGCAGACAGATTGAGCTCAATCTAGATGTTGTGCCCAGAGCTGGAGCTCAGTGTAGATGTTGTGCCCCGAGGTTGAGCTTAATGTAAATGTTGTGCCAAGAGGTTGAGATCAGTGTAGATGATGTGCTCAGAGATGGGGCTCAATCTAGATGTCAATACGATCAATATGATTTTTAATTGGAATGCTTACCATAGCTGCCCAGAGAACCAGACTTTCATTAGAAATTGGTAATCCCAAGTATTGGTTTAAGAATAGCATCAATGGACCCAAAAAAGTGGTATCAGCAAAATCCATACCACTTTTAGTCATATGTGCCACCTACAAAAAAAGAATAATAAACTCATTAACATTTGTTTGTTTAAGAACCACATGAAATCCTTTTAAGATTTTGAGAATGATATTTGCAACTTACTATTAGTTTGTTAGTTATTTTTGCAGAAACCATTCCAAACATAAGAATGAATAAACAACAGTTATTTTGATATAATTGTGTTGGCGATCTCTGCATAACCATCACTGCAAGCAACACAACAGCAGTAAAATGCATCATAGGGGATAAAACACTTGTACCCTGTAAGAAAACAGACATGTTGTGAATAAAAATATTCAAAGCTACGTACTAGAAATTGCAAGTGAAGTGCTGCAAAGTACAACTGCATATAAATGTTCTTCGAACAAAATTATTTATGCGAGTCAAGTGAAAATAATGAATAATAAAAATATAACAAATAATATGAGACACGACCCATTGTCTATATTAGAACACTTCTCATTGGGTGATAAAGTCGTAATTTTTCATTTTTGTCAAAAAGTGCCCCATTTTTTATGGGGCAAGTTTCCAAGGGCCGGTTTTCTAGGGGCGAGTTGACTGCCAAAGAGTGTTGCTAAAGTGCAAGCCAGCGTGTTATTTGATCACAAGTGCGAGACATCACAAGTGTGAGCCAGCGAGCCATGACGTCACGACAATAGATACGAGACGTTAACGAGTTGTGCGAGGTATCGGCTGAGATTTGTGGAGTACAATTCAAAAAACAACTATAGGTCTAATAATAAATTATTGTGATGTTAAATAGACAATGTTAGCTATCAAGAAGTGACGTTGTTTTTCATTGGGACCTTCGTCCCTTCAAGGCTAGGCCTATACCATCCTAGCTAGTCTCAGCCTAGAGTAGGATTTTTTATTTGGTGAAATGATTTAGTATGGGGAGTTTTCAAGGCAGCAAATCTTCTAGGGGCGAGTATGTAGAGGCGAGTTGACTGCCAACGCACCACACAACGTAAGCATGATCGAATTCGAGACAACTCGCCACCAAGTCAACTTGGCCACACTTTCGCGGCCCCCTAGTATAATACATTTTTAAATATTGTTTTAAAATGTAATAATTAGCATGTTGACATAAATAAGTTTAACTGGGTTCGTAAATACTAGGCTATAGGCCTCAAAATACTGTGCCAAGACTTGGGCCAAGTTGACATTTATACCGCCCATGGTTATAGTAAAAACGCTGAATAGTAATACTCAAGCGTCTCGAGCTGACGTAGAAACATAGTAAAAACGAGCGTTGGTACCGTGTATGCCAGTCTACAACAAGCGTTGCTTAAATGTAATAATTAGCACGCTGAAATAGGCTAGTAAATAAGTTTAACTGGGTTCGTAAATAATATTGGCCTCAAAATATTGTGGCTGAGACATGGGCCGATTAAACGTAGAAATAGGAAACCTAGAAATATAGTAAAAACGCTGAATAGTAATACTCGAGCGTTGCGACATGCAGACGTTGGTACGTGTAGGTTAGTCTACAAACATCGCCTAAAGTAATTGATTTTACCCGGCAGAACGAAAGAAGGAAACTCCGCTTTTCAGTCGTCTTAGGCCCTTGTTTTTTGACAAACAATGACCTTTCAGAGGTCAAATTGCTGTCAAGAATATGAAAGAGCTGCTTCGCAGCAATAAATTTATTGGATAAAAATAAGGTTGTCTATTGTAGTCTAATGTGATTCAATTGTAGCAAATGTCAGGATTTGTTCTACAAAAACAAAAAATTGTTGGCAAGTCACAGACTTGTATTTACTATTTACGGTAAATCTCATAAAAAGACTTTGTTATAAGGTACTATATTGTACAGTAGGTCCTAAACGATTAACTGGGTGGATTATAGTTGTAATACAGAGCGTAAAACATTCATATTTCATTTTAATATTTAACAAATTTAACAAAATTTAATACATTTCATTAAATAACTCACAGCTACTGTTGACCCGTTGCGGCCGGACCCTCCACCACCAAAGATCACTTCAAATGATTTTTGAAAAGATAGTAATGACATGAATGTAGAAAATATAAGCAGCAGAAAGCTGATTCTGTATCCATGTATCTGAAAAATGATTAATGACATATTAGAAATGTTTCAGAATTGGTAATTCTGATCTATATAAAATTATATCAGAAATAATTTTCAATATTTATATATAATATTTGTTGGTGAAAAAATAGACACAATTTATTAATTTTTCTACTTTTTTTTTTAAATTAAAAAATTCAAAATTAGTTTCCGAATCAGCTTCACACCAGTGATTTCTCTAAACTTTCTATGTGGCATGATAACAGTTGAGTTTCTAAAAACAACAATTACACACATTTTATCAGTACCACATTTATGTCTCAACTTACTAGCACAAAATGATATTCTATTAGATGTTTGAGTTAGAAAATAAGACACTTTTTAAAGTTTGAGATATCAAAATATTAGGAAGTATTGTCAGGTTCTTATAAATCTTATATAGTAGCAGCAAGTAGAAAATAAATTATCTTACTTGGTAGGACCACATTGCTGGTCCAAAAAAGCTTGTAATAATTAGACAGAAAATAATGGATACTTGTGTTTCAGTCACATCAAACCTTGTAAAACATTGGAGAAAAAGAAATGAGAATTTCATGAACAATAATCAGAATGTCTCAGCATTTCGATGGCAGACATCACCAATGAGATTATAAGCACTGTAAAACATTTGATAAGAGATAAATCCTGAAAGTTTAACAACATTATCCTATTTTTTTAGGAAAGTACTTTTTTTTATTCTTTAGTACATTTATTTTCTGGTGAAATACAGTATGTTCTGAAAAAGAACAAGTGTATTTTACTTTGTTTTGTTAATTAAAATATTACCAGGCTTTAACTCTTTCACTACGTAATTTCCTATTCCATATTTCCCATATCTGGACGGAATAAAATGCAGGAAATTTGGGGAAAATAGGAGATATATAGAAAAAGCGTTATAAGTTTTTAATTGGCTTTCAAAAATATACAAAAGTATATATATTCTTTATCTTTGAGACCTTCTCTGTCTAATTATAAGAAAGTTGTCACTGTCACTGTCGTTGGTGCCAGTGTTATGCACACTTTCACTATCATCACTATCATGAGGTCAAATGTCATGCAGATTGTTGTTCAATATCAAATGTCATGCAGATTGTTGTTCAATATAATATATGCAAACGTCATGGGGATATCCCCGGGATATCCTCATTTGTTTACAGTGACGTCAACAAGCCGCTGTCAGCGGCTTTCCGCTCAAACTGCATATTTCATCTGCGCCGCTGTGAGCGGCTCGCCGTAGCGAAAGAGTTAATTTCTTTGTTACTTTATCAGTTGTAGACATTGTCTCTATGGCATTCAATAATGCAATATATCGTTTAATAAAAGTTTTTGAATCAAAATGAACTAAATTTCACTTTGTATAGCTTAATTAGCCATTAAGACTTTTACCAATCAAACACAAAATCAGGAAAACGTTTGGGACATTGGTAGCACTGACTACAGTAATTCAATGATGAGAAATGTTAGGAAATGTAACAGTAGCACTACAGTATTTTAATGGTAGTTACAAGTGGTTTGATTTCATAATTATGTTCCTTGTATAAGTTCATATCCAAATTTGAGGAGAGCCCACTGATGACAATGGAAATGAGTTTCTCATATTGAATATTATTAACATGATATCAATGTTAAAAGTTTATAATTTTAAGAGAAAAGAAGAAAGAACCTTACATGTTCTACAAAAATGATTTGATTGGATTGAATTTATTCGGTGTAAACACCAAGGATAACCCACGAAAGTCTAGATAAGACTTATTTCCAGTGGGGTCCTTCTGGTGGTGATTGGGTTGTACATTGGGAGACAATCCCCTACTCTTTTCCGAATAGTGCACTGCGTTCTTTACTGTGCACACGGACCAATAATGCACACAGGACCAATGGTTTAAACTTCTCTTTCGAAAGATGGTGTGCTAGAGTAACTTGCATTTCAGCCTTCAGCTGAAACACAAAGAGACCAGCGATAGGAATTGAATCAGGGAACTAGAGATCTCCACGGTTTAGCGCACACACAGTGGCTACCACCAGTTTAGCCAACTGAGCTAAGCTGCTCTCTGATGGGAACCCAGAAATCTATTTGGAACATACTGTTACTATTGTAGTAGCCATCTCCTTCAGCAAACACATGGCTGTCACTGACTGGTTCCGTCAACAAAAATCAATGCTGGTGTTTACTTGAGATCAAAGATTTACGATTATGCTACACGAATGTATTTCAGTTATCTTTTTATTTTATTTTATATTTTTCATTTTTTTAAATTTTGTTTTTGCAACAAATATATATCTTTATTTGTTTGTAACAAATGTTTATCTTTATTATTTCAACATTCAGATGTGCATATCTTTGTTACTTGCTAACTTACTTTCCAAATCGCAGTGTCCCAGAAACATATGTTTGCCAATGAGCTGTGTAAAATAATGCCAGTCCAACAAAACACAAAAAGAAACACTCGAACGGATGAACACCAAGCTGCAACGTTACTGAAGTTGAAATACTTACAAAGACTAGTGTAACAAAAAACAAAAAAAAGTGCAATTATTAAGAAAATTTTTAGGAATGAAAACCATGTTATGTTAAGTGAGGTCAAGCTAATGCCTCAGAGGCACCATTTTTGCTGGCCAGCATGTAATTGTTCATGAAAACAACTATCAGAATTTCAGACAAATGATTGCTAGCAAAAGTTAAATTTAAAGTGTACATAAATTTGTTGTTCTTTCAGACTTTGTATCCAGTCCGTTCACTTTGATTTGCATATTAAGAATAAAGGTATATTGTATTGTATACAGTAGTGTAGTTAATAAAGGGCATAGATTCTTCCTTCCCTATAAATAAGCATAAAAATAACATAACTTAAAATAAATAACTATAAATAATGTAGAAAAGATCAAATAATGCAATATTTCAGGTAAACTACAGTAAGCAGCCAATTCAAAATGCCAAAACTTGTACTTTGTTCAATGTTCAAAGAGCAGCATACAGTATGTGTAACTTGATTTTGAATGTTGTAAAATCATGATGATATATTGTGTTATTGTATACATAGGAAATGAGAGAGGAAAAAATAACTCAATTGGCCAGACAGGTTTGCCAAAAAGTGAACAAAATCACTGTCTAGTGGCTCTCCAATGGCAATGAGAACATTAATTAGCATCTGTCAAGAGAATGTAAAATATTGTTTGAAGGATTGCATGGTAAAGGAATAATATGTATATCTATGCTTGCGGTACACCATAAAGATGGTTCTGAAAAGAACTGTTGTTGGTTGAGAATGTCTCAATGTTTAGATTAGATTTGCTTCAAGAGAATATAATATATATAATAATATATATAATAATATATCTGTCTCTTATACACATCTAGATGTGTATAAGAGACAGGTAATAATAATATATTTAATAATAACAGAAATACAAGAATTGTAGCATAAAAAAGGTTAAAATGTTCTAAAAATGGAGTAGTGAAAATGGAGATGTGCAATTTTATACAGTACATTCTATCTTGTTTCTCAAAACTATGATGATCTACAAGTAGCAGGCTAATACAATCCACTTTTTGCATCTGATCAGTTTTGTGATCTGTAAGAGGTACTCACTTTGTTATTGTTTTGAACGCTTGAGTTAATACACTATGGCAGATTGGCGACTCTTTCTGCTGAATGTGTCTGATTGTAAATGACACCATTATTGCTGTTTCTGTATTTTTTTACGTGAAATTTCTTTTAACAAATCACTAACACATGTTTTAATATTACATCCGAGACATTTGAACATTGGACATCAAAAAGCATGAAAGATATCGATGGTAAAGCTTGGACATAATATTAGAAGAAATGTTCACGGAAGCATAGTGGGTATGGTTAGTAGATGTCCTGCTGTGCACACAGACCTGGGCCTAGAAACCAAAAGCCCTTAAAACATATTAATAACCCACCCTAACTGAAGTGATTTGATTGGGTGCAGCGGCAGTGTATGCCTGACGGATTTGTCCTAAGACACTAATTTGTCTTGGTGATCAAAATAAACGATTCTATTTAATCATTTATGCTAGTCATAAACATTGTTACAATATAATACTGTATATGATATACAGTAGTTATAATCATAAGAATACTACATTGGGAAGTATTCGTGGTTCATTATTGTAGGATTGTGGATTGTGCAGAACTATACAAAACCCCAGACCTTGTCTGACCTAGCATTGCACAAATTATACAATTTCAAGCTTAAAATCAACTTTTTCTTTAATGTACAGCTATAAAATATTAAATAAAAGTCAGCTATATAGTACACAACAAACTTTCGAATTAGTTTTTAAAAATGATATTCTCAAATAGATTACTTAACAAACAATATCTGATCATGATTTAAAGAAAATTTACAGTACAGCTTTGCTATTTCGTATCCAATGTTTTGATTTAATACCGCATACAGATGACGTCACTACCCCTAAGTAACCAAGTGCAAAAGATAGATTGTTAACTGATTGATTTTAACTTTACCTGCTGATACAGCATCACAGCCATGATCAAAGAGTTCACCTAGCGGGGTACTACTGTTGGTTCTCCTTGCTTGCTTTCCATCCAAAGCATCTAGCGTTTGGTATATGAACAGACAAATACCGCAAAAGAAATATGCCCACCTTGGTGCCTTGAGAGATACGACACATAAAAAAACAAGAAATTAAACTAAATCAAGGACAGATCTATAATTCCAAATGAAATGGTTAACAAACCTTTTTTTGGAGCAGTTTTCTTTTTTTGCATCCTACTGAGAAAAAAGAGTATATAACTTACCGAGATATGAGTTATCTAATACTGTATATTTATTAATCAACTCTGACCCAAAAAATCAACTCAGCCCCAAAATCATATTGCTCGTGTTCATTTAATTTATTTTATGTCATTCAAAAGATGAAAATAACAAAATCAGTTCAGATGGGATTCCCAAAATTGAAATAAACACACCAGACTGTAAAACAAGGCCTGCCCGGTGTATATCGTCTGTGCAAAAATTTGACCTAGAAAGGGCTGATTTCCTGACAAACTTTGACGAAAATTAGGCTTTGACCTACAGTAATCTTAATATATAACCAATGTATTGTGCAGTAGTTACGATTCTGCCCACCTACAGTATTTTTCTAGCGATTTTTCATGCGAATTTGAGCTAGCAAAGTTTTGAGGTATCATCCGCGCAACAGATCGAATTAGTCACCAAAACAAAGCTGCTGTAGTAGGCATGCAAACTGCTACAGTAGGTGGTTGTTTATTCACACAATATTAATCCTTCGCAGGAATAAATCTTGATATTTTTTAAACTCTTCAAACTTGTTCATTTGTATATTATCGTAATGTAACTTTATCAGAAAGCCTTGGTAAATACTCCTAATAAACATTAGAATTTTGAAATGGAGTGAAAAAACAAATGGAAAACATGAACGTTTTTGCATAGCATCGTCATGTTAACAGGCGTCTAGCCCTAGATTAGAGATTCATACAAACAACATTCTTCTGACTCATTGGTCATCGTAGTCAAAAGAAACATCTTGTTCTACAATTCAGCAATTTAAGTTTGTCGAGTACTTTAAATATTTCATACAGAAATTGCAACAAAATGACTTGGTGACAGCATTTAAGCAGAATGCATACCACTAAATCAACAATGATGCCTTTAGTCAGTGCTGGATGTGTCGAGTTGCCCAAGCGATAGAACTAGGAACCCTAGAAGGCCTCTCAAAACTCCTTATATTTTTAGTCTGAATAGAAATTTATATCAAATCAACCTTTAAATTCATGAATCTATAAAATTTAAAATGTATACATTGTTGTAAAAAGTATCTTCTATGCCAACTTCATAAGATTTTAGACAATTTAATATACTGTATACCACTTTCAACTCTTCTCAATGCATTGCCATCATTAGCATAGATTTTTGGGCATGTTTCAACTTTAATACCCACTCGGCGAAATCGTGATGTTATCTTTATTGACTAATGCGAATTTAAAAACTTTTTTTTCATTCATAATTGCAAAACAATTCAAGTAGAATAAGATGTACTGTAGGCCTAGGCCCTATTCCGAAAGTATACAATAGAAGAGAAATCTGACAAATCTGAGAAAACAAAGCATGAATGAAAAAGAATACATTCACAAAATAGACATGACATGACATGAGACCGAGTTGGCTTAGGGACTAGGCCTGTCTGTAGTAGTATTTATTTATTTAATTTTTATTTATTATAAATTCGGCATGTTATACAGAATAACATGGAATACAAAACATGGAATACAAAAAGACAGAATAACGGCATGCCCGGAGAGAATAATAATGGGCTGAAGCCCGACACCAGGGTGAATTCTCTCTAAACCGCTAACCTGTTAAAGAACAATGAAAAACAAGTATTAATAGAAATTTTTTTACATTTTATAAAAATTTTTTTTAAAAATTCATTTACAAAAAATATTGAAAAGATATGGAAGAAAATCTGCAGACTACAATTAAGGCAGAAGATAATTCTGCCTCATTACAATCCACTTATCACGCAATAGGCTAGTACTGATTAGTAGTGTAGGGGGCTAGGGCCTCTAGGCTTAGGCCGCCTTAGAATAGGCCTGAATAGTTTGACAAGGGCTTAGGCTTAGCCTACTCTAGTTTCCCTAAAACTGGGCTACCTATCTAAGCCAGCTAGGCCTAGGCCTTTGGTTAGGCTGTAAGTAGTAGTGGGCCCAGTAGGCATAGGCCTAGGTCCGGACCTATCCAAAATCACGTTTAACAGTGTTTGGAAGTCAAGTCATCAGAATATATCTGCTCACCTCTTCCTTTGCAGTAGGACAATATAACATCAATATAACTGCGCTGATAATATTTAATATTAGGCCTGACAGTGTCATTGTATTCGGAGCTATCGAGCGAGGGACCTTCTCGATAAGCCATTTCCAAAACGGCTGCATGACGGCTTCCGTGATAGAACTTCCATGCGAGCTGTATTTATGCTCACCCAATCGCTTCAGTTGGCTAGAATCCAGTATTGCTGTTGTTAGAAGAGACATCACACCCTTTAGTTGTTGAAGAAATTGAAATAAATTAAATGTAAACAAGAAAGTTTGTTAAACAACACCTCTCCCAAAACACCCAACCAACCGGTTGTTTTGCTCATCAGCAATTCGTATGCTCCCCTCTACGTCGTCGTCGTCGCTCTTCTTATGATCAATAAACCGGAAGTAAAATAAAAGTTTTGTTTAGTAGATATGAATATTAAGCAGTAATTATGAAAATTCATTATCTTCATCTTAAAATCATCTGAAATCATTGTAATTGTGGAAAACATTTTAAATTTGAGATTTAAGAATATATTGTCATTATTGCCAAGCCCCACAAATTTAAATTATTAAAGAAAAAGAGAGAATTGTATAGTTATTAAATTAATACGCAGTGTCTATGCTTAGTTACACAAAACAACAGCGTAAACATGCATGTTGGACAACTCATGCTTGTGGGTCAAGCATGTATTCCTTGCCCTGTTCTGATTGTTTGATCGACACATTGGAAAGGTCCATTGAAAATTGCAATCAAATGACTTATACACAAGATGCTGATTTTCCTTCATATAAACAAAACAACAAAACAAAAGCTACAAGTAAAATTAAAATTCTTAAAAAAACAAAGAGACAATAGTAATGAAAAATCCAAATGCAATTAAAATAATATTACACTAAAGTTTAAAATCTTAACTAAAATGAAATATGTATATATAT